CTAATGTAGTTCCTGAGACTTTTTAATAATGAATGTGGTGTTTTTAGTTTTTTCCTTGATGAATGAAATTTTAATGGGTTACTATTGAGGCTTCTCATTGCTATCAAAATTCCTTTCATAAATTATTTTCCAATTTGCTGCTTGAATTCACTCGATTTTACCTTTAAAGTCTTTACTAATACTACAAACAATTGCGCACCATGTTTTCAATATAGACCGTGCTAAGTCAAAGAAAATATCCTTGAGAAATTAAATAAAAGTTATAAGAAAATAATTTTTTTGTATCAGTTTGTACTCAACTTTCTCAAATTATTTAGAAAGTTATGGTTCTTTTTAGATTTTGAAAAAACATGTTGCTTAATATTCTCAATTACTGGACTGCCAAAGGGAAATATTTTTTGTAAAAATAAAATGCATCTTTTTTGGTCTATCAAGACTCTGTTACTTTCGCTAGACCCTTTAATTATCCCGTACGATTTTTCAAATAATTGATAGACCTCTCCAAAACCTACATCTTTCATTTGATAAGGATGTTTCCTTCTTCCTTTTTTTATTTTACTAAAATCTTACATCCATGTACTTGAATGAGCAATGTCTTTGTAAACACTTCTACAACTTTCCTATAAGAAAAACGATATATTTCCTTTTTGTCTGTTTGCTTTTTCTCTAAAGTGGATTTTATCCTTTTACCATTGTCGATTATTAATCTTGGGAATAAAGTATATACGTTCAAAAGCGAATCAAAAATTAAATGAAAACTAAAAATGCAATTTTATCTTCGCCGCAGCATATGTTATACTACGTAACAATCCTCCGTATTCGGCGCTCGTTCGATTTATTCGACTTAAAATAAAGTAACGTGATCACTTCATTAAGTTACTTTCAAATTTGAAAAAAACTTCGAGTTCCATTTATAGTCTAAATAAAAAAAATACATGCACATATATAACTTTTGGCATCAAAGAAATGCATTTATTATTTATATACTGAGATTTACACACTGAAAAGCCGCAGATTAAATTTTCGTTCCCAAACCGATGTAAACCAATCAAATAATTTGGATATATCAACAAAGTTGAAATGGTAAATTGGCCACCGTAATGATTACAAAAGCTGACGTTTCGAGCGTTAGCCCTTCGTCGGAGCCCTTCGTCATTCGCTCCGACGAAGGGCTAACGCTCGAAACGTCAGCTTTTGTAATCATTACGGTGGCCAATTTACCATTTCAACTTTGTTGATATATCCAAATTATTT